TCTATTTGCTAATATACTATATTGAATAACTGATAAATTATAACTGTTGCTGATTATATTCTACTGCATTTATTTTGGGGGCAGTGGAGCGTTTATGGAGGGAGTTATTAGTCACAAGCTTTCATCACATCTCTGGCATCACGATAAATATTTAACATTCTTTGGTGTTTTTAACACCAAAGCACAAAATGGATCTGTGATAAGGATTAAAAAGATTAAATTCTGTTTAGTGCAAAATGTTGGACTTTTTTTTCAATGTGTTAAAAAAGGTGTCTCTTAAACTCTAGAGCGAATCAAACAAACAGACAGAGTAAACTTCAAGCACTGTAAGTGTCCTAATAACTTCTGATTAGTGTTAGTGTTTTTGTTAACGTGAGGATATAAGGAGGGTAATACAGCACAAGGATACCAGAATGTGATGCATCTGCTATATAATATTTGGGAGCCAGAATCGTAATTGAAATTCAATTAACTGTCCAGCCCTGCTCAGAATAAGCAATAATGTGGAGACTATTTCGACCTAGTAGACTTGGATACTTCTTAATCGCATTGGAGCATTTTGTGACAGGTAGTTTCCTTACTGCTTGATGTTGCACGCTCTGGGTGTAACCAACACAGAAAAATAAAAAGAATGTACCTTTTGCAAGTAGAAAAAAAACACACACACAAAATGGTAAACAAGCCTAACCCTAACCGTACAGGAAACCATTTTAGGTTTGGGTCTTAAAACTGGCAGAATGACGTCGGACATTATGGCGTGAGTCACAATCTGACTACGCTCTGTAACATACAAACTGGAAAACTATCAGCAACACACGAACCCCATAATGGTTATTTACCAATTCTGATGTGGGATGTTATTTACAGTACTAATAATAGAAGTCTTTTGGTTTTGTAACAGGTATGGAAATGAACTTTCAGTAGCATGAATGGAGAAGTTGACTAGTAGAGGGGCAAACAGGATGAAAATCAGCAACACCTTTGAGCAACATAAGATCTGTGAACAGTACAAAGATTCAACATCCTGCTGCTGTAAGGTGAGGAAGGAGAGAGCAGGACAGAGCTGAGGTGTTCCTGCTGTAAAGCTTCACCTGCCTGCTACTCAACCTGCTGCAGAAAAGACACACTTCCCCCACACTATGACAGGAGTGTTGTGACTGAAGGCAAGAGATGAGGAATTTAACTGTAAAATCACTGGTTATACATGATGAGCCACAACATTATGAGGGTTAATTATTATGACGACAGGTCACAAGCACAATGTTCCCTGTGCAAACTGATTTAAGATGTGAGAATACTGTTGCTAAGCGACAAGAGTGGACGTGTTCCTGATTCCTTCAATGTTTAATGATTTTGTGATTTCTGCCTTTTGGTTCCTTAACATGTTAACCTTTACTGCCTTCACATCGCAATTTGTAAACACAGAATTTACAATAATAAACACAGTGCATTATTTGTATTTATTTGCATGATATGTTCAAATGTGTGATGTAATACACAGATGTCCAAACTTACTGTGTATTGCAAGTTTTGTTTAATGCAAGAATTTCTTATCCAGAAATCTTTGTACAAATATATAAAGCATTAATGTGGAGTTGAAATTTTCTGGGAAACAAGTTGGGAAAAATGTTGGTCCCTGACTTGTTGCGATGACGTCACACACGCAGAAACACAGCAGAGGAAAGTGCATGTTTTGGACGATGGTAAACTTTTGATTAATGGTGAAAACTAAACATTTAATTTACAACAAGGTAATAGGTTGTAAACGCTCGTCGCTGGGCTAGATGAGTCAGAGAAGAAAAGTCTTAGATAAAAATATAAGACAAAGCAGATAGTCCATGTTGTTCCCATTTTCTGATGAAAAGGAAGACAAAAACAACTGTTTGGGTTTGTTAAGATGATACTGATGCAAGAACCGATCTTTTTTGTCCTTCATTAAAAAAACAGCAACAACAACCGTCAATGATAAGAACAGCTTTTTAATTGCTGAGGTGAATTGGGAATTGAAATTTAAACAATAAACAGTTTAACTTAATTTAAAAACACAAATATAATTGAGTGCAACAAAATCAGTTAAAATCACACCCTGAGACTGAGCCAGTAAATGTGCCATCAAACCCAAACTGAGAACTAAAAGAGAAAATAAGAAAAGGTCACTGAAGAGATGGGGGGGTATGTCCCGGCACCTCACGATTCGATTCAGGTTCAAAGGGCAACGATTTGATGATTATTATTATTATTTCTATAAAAAATAATTTTAATCACTGTGTCTACTACAGGAGTGTATCTTCAATAGCCTCGTGATTTGAGCTTTAAAAAGTATTTTATACTTTTACTACAAGTGTACTGTAATTTACTATATAAGGTTTTCAATTCTATAAAGGTGGTCAGTGCTCTCCACATTGATTAGACGTTCATTCAGTAAACACTGGTGCATCTTTAGCCTTTACTGTATCAGGGTAAACCCTGCCTGGCAGCGTCAAGGCTCTGCTCCTGCTGAATTCCTGGATATATAAGACGATGCCTTCCATTGCAACAACTAAGTAAAAAAAAAAACTGGGGGAAGTACTTCTCCCCTGTCTGCAGCCTGCGTGTGTGTTTGTTTCTGCCTGTCCCTGTGTATTTCACTATTTATCGATGTTGTTGGATCATGAATCGAAATCTTTACAGTCGTTATTTGACTTTGTTATTTGAATATCACTGAGCAGTGCAGCCTTGAGTGGTGTAGACATACAAGATATAAAACGCTAGAAAATCAGAGGTCCGTAGAACAATTTGTGCAGGCCGTACAAGGTATCAAGATTTACTGAAACCCTCGAAACACAGGTGCGAGATTAAAAAAAATGGAATTAGCTGTATCTTTTCATTCCTCTAGTCTTTCCACCTCCTCCAGCAGTTCCTTCTCTTTCTATTCTTGTCTCTAATGAAGGTGGATAAGAATAGAATCCATCCTGGCAACTGAAACACTCCGGTTGGTGTATAGGTGAGAGTGGTGTCTCAATGGGCTGTGAAGTAGTCTGAACATTGAAGCAATTTATATTGAGAGCCACTGGAAAGGAAATAATAAGAATCACTGAGAATTACTGACACACTTCTCTCCTATAGTCCTCAGACTGGAAAGACTTATTTCCAGTCAGCGGAATTTATACATTATATCCTGCCTCATGCATGCTACACCACCCCTCACCAGAACGCATGTTTGCCAGTGAATGGTGGCATGGCTTATTCACCCTGTGGTTGTTTTCTCAGTCTATTTTTTATCCCACATTGGTGAAATAAAGCTAGTCAGGCACTCAATATTTCCATTTAGTAAGAAAATGAGTGCAATAATCAACAGCAACAGCAGCAGCAGTATTTCCATCAGTGTATCTTAATGTATATTTAAGTATTTCATGATAGTTTTGAAAACATACGAAAACTCAGTGGCAAAAATATGTATTTACTTTTGCTTCACGTGGTTTTAACCTTTTCAGAAGAGCTCTACATTCTCACTAACCTCTGTAGTTTGCTGCCCACGTTTGTCTTCAATTATGTTCTTATCACCTTATTTGCCCACAGGCTGATTTCATTCGCAGTCAATCAACCTTAAGTAATTAACAATGTTTTAGTTTTTCTTTTGCAATCTTTATTTGAATTAATCTGTGATATTAATCCATGAACCATGTTTGTATATCATGGGGGAAACTGAGTTTGAATGGTATTTGTATTTAGTTGGCTTTTACTAATCCTTTCTTTGGTTTGACCAAACCAGTATATATGTTCCCTCGATTGTCAGGTCTGTTTGTTCAGTGAACATCTTGATTGTTTAGTTGTTATCTAAATTGTTATTGACCTCTTTTATAGACTTAGTTGTATAATTCTTGGTTTTGCTTTTTCTTGAGCAAATATAAAACCAGTTTCCTGAACGAAATTATTTTTCACTGCTTTTTCCAATGGGCTCGGTTTTAGGGTAAGGGGCGAGGGAATGTATTATGTCTAAGAGTGTCCTCACTGAGATAGAAGTACAAATGTGTGTGTGCGTGTGTTTGTGTATTTGTGTGTTTTCAAGGAGATTTACCTCACACATTGTTTGTTATCCTCCACAGAGGAAACAGGCAGCAAAGGGACTGTAACTCTGTTTGATGCTTTTTTTTTTATGGCAAACCCATCTGGTGAGAAACTCTGGCTATAATCAAGCTGCATCCATCTACTGGACTACTGCTGTTATCACCAGGTTTCTCTGTGCAAACCCCACTGTCTCACTGCAATCCTGAAAAGTCATGTTCAGGGCTTGTTCAGTCCCATGAAGCCACTTCCTTTCTAACGCCACTTCCTTCATCAAGCTGCAGTCTTCACTCCCCCTCTCCTACATGTAAAACATGTTGTTGCACACTGAAAGCTGCTCACTTCACTGTGTGGATCCAGCGACCGTCTAATTACTGAGCAGCACAGGGCTGAGCCCTTCACGATGCTCTGCAGTGTCAGCTGCTAATGAAGGAAGTTTGCCCTGAGAGAAACTCTCGAAATTCACTTCAGTCGTGCTCTAAGTTTAATTAATTTCTAATAGTTGTAGAAATGCAACGCGACATAAACATCGTATGTAATCTTTGATGGCATTTGTGGTTTAGTGGTTCAATTTAAGGTACCGGGCTACTTTTTAAATGTGCTTGTTTGTTGCTGCAGAACAGCTTCCTGTTGACTGTTTTCACTAATGTTTAATCTAAGTGACAAAAAGTCCATTAGGCTATAAAAAAGCTTTTTACTTGGGAGACAAAAGAACTGCAGTGCGTCTCACCTGAGACATCTACTCTGATGACAACCTTAATGAAAGGAGATTTTTATGGTTGTAACGGTGACGTGACCAGGAGGCTATACCAACAACATCTAGTGGACATTAAAAGAACTACAGCTGATGAAATCAGCATTTGCTTTTGTCCCACAAGTATTACCAACTAATATACAGTGTTTGTGTGTGCAATGCATGCAAGTTTATCTTAAACTGTAAACCTCTTTCGGCTCACCTGGCAGGCATTATAGAGCAGCTGGTGCTCGAACTTTCGGATGCCAAGGATCTGCTGGAACATTTCGTAGAGTTGCTCCTTGCTGAGGATGAGCTCTGACACGGCACTAAGGTGGGCCCGCTGTGTCTGACGCCGCATGTCCTCGTCCCCCCTGTAAATGGCATCATACTTAGCAATCCAGGAGCTTAACACAGTCTCTTTGCTCAAGCCGTCGATCTCTGGGAGGCTGCGAATGCGTCGCTCGATGTTCTTCTTGAAGACTTCGCGGAAGTCGTTGGCCGAGCAGCCGCCACTCTGAACCATCCGGGAAACACGCTCGCTCTTCAGGAAGCCCTGTTGAGGACAGAGACAATGGTGAGCTAGGGGTGGGCCCTACACAGGTGTACTAGTCATCACTGGTGTGATAGTGCACCATGACATGGATTGTGCAATCACTGTGATAAATCAAGCCTAATTATAAAAATAACGTATTTTATTATTCTTCAAATTTGTCCTGATACAATAAATTTAATAGCGAATGAAAAAGTAGAAAATAATCGTTATATTAAGTTTGATAACAATCGTAATAATAATTACAAGGTGCAACAAACAAAAGACACAGTAATTCACTGGGTCTATAATGTCTGGGTGATTCACATTTGTGTGTTTTGGCAGAAGCTCTTTACACAGAACAACTTTCACTGACTGGAGAATAAGTGGCTCAGACTGAAGCAGTAGCAGCAGCAGCTCTGTGCGCCATTAAAGCTTCTCTCATTTGGCTGCTTCACCGCTTCCTTCTCTGAAACTCTGAACATCCATGAGAAACTGAGGCTAAGAGCTCAGGGATCAGAAGCTGAGGACAGTCTGAAGAGACAAACAGACATAATGTTTTACATTGTGTCTGAGTAAATTCAATTCTGTTATATATTGGCAAATCTAAAATAGCATTAATATGTATATAGGTTTTTAGTAAACTTTGAACATTTTCAAACTTAGTTCAGTGATTATCCAAGAGCAGATTTCATCTCCTCAGATCAGAAAATGTTCACTGATTAAAGCCCAACTACATTTTAATTTGAGAATTACGCAGTTTGGCCCCATGGATTCAAGTTGATAATGATGACAGATTGTGACGCTGCAGCCTCAGCAGACGGTATTCATCGGACTAGGCTACGTTTTCATTCTTCAACTGTGTATTGGCAGGGACCTAACATAACATAATATATGATATATCAAGATAAGTCACAGTATATTGTAAAAAAAATACAATGTAATTCTCTTTTTTTAACTGAAAATGAAAAAGTAGTTTTGAAAATACAACTGGTCGTGTACCACCTTGATAGTCTCTACATCTACACCCCATAATATTGATACATTAAATACAAATTAATTTAAAATTGCCATTCCGATTTATTAGGAACAATATATGCATTACAAAGTGTCACTGAACAGTGAACACACTGTTTAACACACATTTCCATGATAGTCAGCTGGATCACTTTTTTTGCACAGCCCTATCAACTGTCCAGTGTTGGTGAGTCTGTGTCACTGCAGCCTCTGTTCTTGTCTGACAGGAGGGAACCTGACACGGTCTCTACTGTTGTAGAACCATGACATGTTGTTCATTTCTAGATACTTCTCCACTCACCACAGTTGTAAAGAGTGATTATCCAAGTTATCACAGATTTTTTGTCAGCCACTGTTGACCTCTGAGCTCTCTCCTCATCATCAACATGACTGCTGCTCTCTGGGTGGGTTCTGTTGTCCTCACCCTCAGGATCAGGGAAAAAAATCCCAAGAGATTTGCAGTTTCCCTCTGACACCAACTGCCATGTCATTTTTGTTCTATTCTGATGTCTGATGTGAACATGAGCTGAAGCTCCTGACCTGTATACTCAGGATTGTATACACTGCAATGCTGCCACATGTCTGGATAATTGCAGGAATAAGCAATTCAATTGTACAGTACCAATTGTACTGTGTCCGCATGTATTGGATGAGCCATCCTGGAGGAGCTAGACCTTCTTGTGCAATCTGATTGGGTTGCAGATAGGGCCTCATGCTACCAGTAGTGACAAGGACACAAGCAGAACACAAAACTAGAAAAGAATCAGTCAGGAAGGAGGAGGAGAGAGCAATCGTCTGTGGCCACCACATGTAAAACTGTCCCCTTTTGGGGGGTTGACTTGCTTTTGCCTCTCCATTGCACCTGTTGTCACTTTCATTTGCAGCACTTTTACCCTCAGGTTCTGGGATCATAAATAAGCTTTGCAATTCATTTATATAATTAACTGGTCATAGTGATGAATTTGACCTGGGACCATCGTGATCACTAGAAGTTTCGCCGGTAGAATTTATTCGGGAGATTGCAAAACGAGATTTGATGGAGCCGCCTTGCAGTTTTCTGTTCTCCCTCTATTCTTTTGATTCCAACAATTGGACTGAATAGCTTTAATTTAATAAATTAATAATTCAGGGCAGTACTGCTCCATCTGATTGGCCAAATATATTGACATGCAGAGTGTGAATGTATGGCACATGGAGCACCATTTAACACAGTTCAAGCAGTCTTTCGTGATACGTATATATCACACATGCACCCTGCAGCCCTTTTTGCTATATATATTTTTTATAGCTGTTTTCATGAGTACACATTTTGTCCAAGAAAGTGCAGGAAGTAAGTTTTCTTTAACAGCCTTAAGGGTTAAAGGTTCAGTGTGTAGAATTTAGTGGTGAATTTGCATGTTTCAGCTGAACGCCCCTCACCTTACCCTCCCATTCCAAACAAAACAAAAAGAAACAGTGGTAGCCTTCAATTTTTATGAAAATTCAAAAGGTATTTAGTTTGTCCAGTCTGGGAGACTGTAGAAAATATGGTGGCCTCCCCATAGAGAGAACCCCCTCCCAATGTAAATATAAAGTATTTAAATATAAAGGGGTAATTTCAGGAACAGCTTTGTAACTGTCATATTTAAGCTCTCAGTTAATAATAATAACAATAATAGCTGTTGAGTAGTGTCAGATCATTAAAAACTGGACAAACTAAACACCTTTTGAGTTTTTATGACAACTGAAGCTACCACAGGTTCTTTTTCATGTTTGGAAGCAGAGGGTGAGGTGAGGGGTGTTCAGCTGCAACATGCAACTTCAACACTGGATATCACAAAATTCCACACACTGAACCTTTAAAAGAAGTAAAGTTGTAAGGAAGGTAAAAAACTGAATTCATGTAGAAATTGAAAGCTCTATGGAGCTATGCAGGTAGAAGTCATGTGAGGGAAAACAATCTGGACACATTTTCATGCAATAATCTTAGATTTATGAAGCCCAGTGGAATGAAAACACAGCTTTTAATGTGCACATCAGTCTGGAGAGGTTTTGTGTAATTATACATAATGGATACAAACTTCTCCAGGAGAAGAATTCAGCAGTGTCTACAGATGAACGGCTCTGTGAGAAGGCAAGGAGCCACGTTTTTTAACCATTAGTAGACTCATTCAGCCGTCTAATTTGTTCTCAGTTAGTGCTTAGAATGTAGTTATTCATGATTAAATAGTAATCATTATCAAAACAGAATTTCACACAAAACAAACACCTTTTACTGGAGGGTTTTTATCTTATATTCTGTGTTCAAACTGTTTAACAAAATCTGTTTGCAGCTGTGAAATAATCATTTAAGATAATCAGTCTTATAATCGTATTATCTCTAAAAGATAACAGCTAGTCTGGAGAAGCTAAAGCCTGATAGATCTCATTAAGCCGCACAAAAAAAAGTCTGTTTGAACCTCCTAGCTAGTCTGACGCCCTAAGAACTGGGGACTGATACACAGCAACAGTAAAGACAACTTTACTGATATTATTTAAATAAAGGCACAGTGAATAGAAAATTACAAATGAAGCATTACATTTTAGTTATCATCATTATTTAGATCTAAGCGTCGTGTTAAGACAGATTCATACTATATAGATTATATGAGTTAAGTGGATTTTGGTTTATAGTTGAAAGTTTCATGATTTGCCCAGACGATGCTTATTATCCTTATATTAAGTTTACATCCTTCCATTTCTTGTGTTTTAGAGAGAGACAACATGCTACATATATATATAGTACTTTCAAACAGTATTGCAGAGTAAAAGACAAATCTTGTGTAGTCTCTGTGTTGTTTTAGATTCACTCATAAAGAGTGCGGGCGAGTGCAGTAAGCACAAGGTTTGCAGAGGAGCTGGCAGTGCAAGACATGTGTTGTAGTAAATTACCAATAACCTTGTCTTAAATCAACTCTCCTAATGTTGTCTTTACTAATAACAATCTCTGCCACCATCAGCGGTGGAGGCATGCCAAATTTGGTGCGATTTGGTGAAGCACCAGCCGCGGACTCTGCCCTGATCATGAAGCAATGGCAGTTATCATTGTGGCGGCCTGTAGTGGAAACCCAATATCAATACTTGCTGTTGCCACTGTTCTTCAACAAATTGGACTCAGCTCTTTCACTTAAACAGATTCTGCTCCTCTCAACTCTGCTTCACTGTGTATGAGTGTGGGCGGGGCACAGAGCCCATGCATGTATGTGTGTCAGTAAGTCGTCTCATTTACATGAAGAGTGAACTGTAATAATTAACCTAACATAGTTCCCCTCCACTCCAAAATATGCAGCTACATTGTTAACACTTTTAGCCTGAAGGTTGTCCTGTCACATAAAACACCAGGACCTGACCAAACCACGAGAGCAGCTTCAGTCTGTTCTGAGGGTCGGCAACGCTGCCTCATGAGAATGACACACAGCAGAGCGAGAACCAAAAGCAGATGGATAGGAACTGCCGTGGAGCTGCAAGAGTAATGACGTGGAACAGGAATCATTTGAATCTGAACACTCTTAACAAGGAGATAAGAGAGAAACGCCAGAGAAAACAAATGTGTTGGTGTTAAAGAAGTCAGCAGCTAGAATTCAAATCAGTGGGTGGTGGAAATGGAGAAAGCCAAAACAGATAAAGTCGTCTTTATGGTGATGAATGAAAATGGGCAAACTTTAAGTAGATTGAGGGGACAGATGCAGCTGCCACCAGAGGAGGCTACTATCAGCAGCTAATTTATCTTAGTGTGTTGTGAACTGCAGGGAACAAAATGACATGGAACAGCCACTCCTGGAGGAGAGGATGCTGGAAGACCTGAAACCATCGAGCTGACTGTTTTAAATGGTCACTAAGGAGACAAGCAGTTTCTAAGGGAAAGAAGACTGTGGTAATAAGTCTGCCCACTGACTGGCTGGCTTCACGTTTATTTAACAATCCAGGTGGGACAAGAAGAAGATTAATGCAGCAATCAGCTCAGAGTCATGATTCTTTTACTGTTGAGC